TTCTCCATCTTTTCAAACAAACTTTCTTTGCACATACTTGGCTTGCTCAAACAGATATTCAGACAAAACCGTTACTGTCAGGTTATCAAAAGAACAATTATCTCTTAGTTCAAAGGTGTGGCATAGGGTATCTGTTCAATATATAGTTACACAGAATAGTGTTAATTGAAATTGGACGATAATTAGCTAGGTCTGGTGAGTCAGGTCTTACAGTTTGTTCACGACCAGCCAATTTCTTCATGATTTTTAGTTTTTTATTTTGATGATTTCGCAGATTGTTTTGGTACGTATCTGGAATCACAAACAGTAATCTGCACTTTTTCAAAACATATGTATTGGCTTGGATTATCCACTACACATATATACACTTATCTCACGTCTATTTTCAATGTATGATATATGTTTTTCAACCTTATTTTAAGGACTATTAACTTGAACAGTGTTAGTTTTTCCACAGTCGAGGCCACAATGGCGATTCACGGCTATACTGACAGAACGGTACAAGTTTTGGGACTTTTGAAACAAATATTAGCTAGTGGGCAAAGGTGGTGATATGATTTTTATATTATTTTCTAATGACTAGTAAAATTAGAATCACCGTTATTTATTTTTAATAAATGTGTGTATTTCCTATAAATAGTATGTCTTAAAGTATTGCAAAGAATCTTAATGACAAATATGTATATCAATAAATACCAACTAACTATTTGATTCTAATTATATAGAGACATCAATTTTAGTATTAGATAACTGTGTTAAGATAGTTAAGAAAAACACATGTTTTAATTTTAGGTAACATTATTAAGGTGTTGTCTACCAACCATTTATATACGAAAAGTTTGACTGGAGCAGAACAAAAGGCGTGCGTCTAGAAGTCCTCCATGTATTTATATGTTAGCGACCACGAGGGAACCCGATGGATCTATTGTTATGCGATCAACTTGTACGTTCCATTCATGCTTCCACTTTAGGTGTCTAGATGTTTAGCAATAGTTAAGTAACTCTACTTACCCTGAATCATGTTGTACACAGTCAGTGAGAGGGAAACGATTATATAATAACTGTTCATTTCACCTTTCATACTGTCTATTTTTGACAATGAGTTTATCAAATAGAGAATGCAGTTTAGGCAGCTTTACAAATAATGGATAATTTTGTTGTAGATGACAAAAAACTTGACCAATGTACTAGAAACTTTTATCTTGTCTGCACGTAATCACGATAGCTCTAAATTATTTTTAGACAAAATATTTGTTTTTACTGGAGTAAATGATAAGTATATATGAATTTGATTGAGTATTTGAAGTTCCTTTATATCTTTCCCTTAACTTGAACCATTAAATTATAATTGTACTCGTAATTGTTAACAAATGTCACCACATGTAACTATTACTTCCAAGAAATAAAATTAACTTTTCAGAATAATAGTAAACTAAAATGTGTAACTTAGTTTACAGTTAAGTTTGAATTTGTAATCAAGTGGTATGGTTTTAAAGGAAACTGTATGATAGTTAACTTTTATTCCATCTGGATGTAGACAAAAATGTTAAAGGTATTAAGCCAAAAGTATAAAGTAGAATAGTTTTTGGATAGTGAGTTTACTAAATGTTTACTACAATAAAACTATTTTGTTTGCTCTTATCTTGTATCTACACTACTGACACGAGCACATATACCTATACAAAATAAATTCTTATAAAAGTTAACTAAACATTTATAATATATTATGTTTATTTATAAAACTATCTATCTATAGTAGAGAAATTTGAATTTGACTACAAATTCCAATTCAAAATAAGTTGGGGACCTCAGAGGTTGGGGTAAAGAAATGGCAATAGTATGTCGTTCTAAAAGATTTCCGGCGCTATTGGACCGTTCGGTACACATTTTCGATCCCTGAATACATTATACCGATCGGACTCAATCCGCTTACAAGAGAAGTTACAATTTTTTCCAACAAAATCTAAAAATATATATGATTACAAAATTTCAAATATTTACAACAATATCTAAAAAATAAATTGTAATGACAAAAAATAAATATAAGACAAAGACGACAAAAAATAGATTAAAATAAAAAAAATAAAAATTACTGTTCAGTGAAGTGCTAAATTATGTATTAACTAAAATCTGCTAAATGATATTGTCGATATATATTTGATTTAAAATTATTTTTCCTGCTAATATTTCGCTTTGAATTCTCTACATACAATGCTATAACGAACATTACCTTTTTTGACATAATAATTCATCGTAACTTTACTAATGTAGTCTATCTAAAGTGAGAAACGCATCAGCATATTTCTTTTGACCTTTTGTCCATATGAAATATGGCTAGTCTCTAAAACTTACCTATTTTTTTCATAAAATATTACAAAATCAATGTTCCTTACCAAATTTCGTTTGTTGAAGATGGAGTTGATTTAAAATTCTACAATAGCTTGCGTCTAAAGTTTCCAAGCTACATTGTTATTTTTTTTATTAGATTCTCAAGAAGTCAATTTAGCTGCCTTTTCAGCACACAACTAATTTTCCGGATTCAGTTCCGGACATTATTGGAGTGAATCCAATTCAAGTATATAAATCATTTAGCGTCGTCTAAGTGGCCATTATAGAATACCAAGATTTCGATCGCTTCTTAATTAAAATCGTATTTTTATATTTTCAAATTATATAACAGTTTGATGACCGCTTTTTATATATGTATGTACATATATAATTTATTTTTTTAAATGTCATCACGAGTTCATCTTTATTTTCTCATAAAAATGGATTAACAGCATAATTAGAACATCAGATTAATACAGAAAACGATAGGAAGTTTTAAGAAGCATATCTTAAGAAAGATTCTTCTTACAAGGTACACGTGGCTAATGACTTAGTTTTCGAAGCAAGCTCTTTTGAAATTCGAGATGAAAAAAAGGATCTGAAATGGAGCCATAACAATAAATTTGTTCCTCTAACGACATGGAAAGCTTCCAAATAGACTGGATTTTGAATCGATCGTTCGAGTAATGCACAGTCATCCTCAGTCATCCCTTGCTCTTAAAATTACAATTAAAAGGTAAAATTATAAACTACCAAATTGATAAAGTTCTTAAAACCGTTTTAAAAAGGATGTTATTCTGAAAAGAAGGTTACTAAGGCACGTACTAATAAATAAATTTAAACTTCAGTTGTCTCAAAAATATGTTCAATTTACTTCAAAACTCGTCTCCAAACTTTGAAGTATGTAATATAATGAATCTTTAGTAATAAACTGCTAAAAATACTTATATAAAGTGATAACCTTTGTGTTAGATTAATAACTACACTCATATTGGTCGCTTTCTACAAAATTCCCTTTATAATTAATGTATAACAAATTAAGAATTAAATATTTGTAACTCTTATAGACTGATTTAAATTAAATTTTAATTGAAAAACTATTGCCACCAATTGCCAAGCGTAATTTTGAATTCGCATTATGTAATTAAATTCTACGAGAATTGATATGAATACTAATTTACTCAAAAGTGGCATTTTAAAACAATATGTAATAAACAACAACTTCATTAATACCTATTAATTTAATACAATAATTTAACCACTATTATCATTTAATTAATAAAGTTGTTACTTTTGTCATTCATGTCCATTATTTATTAAATGTTCATGTTCATTTCATTTCTCAAGGGACGCTCCCTATTTTAAAGCAAGGGAATCCCCCAAAAATTATTACGTTAATGTAAATACTCCACGCAACCATTACGTCTGTAGTAAAATATACTCACTTAGGAAATACTGTTCTGCGTTACAGCTATCTAAAGATATAAATTAATGTTGTAAAAAAAATGTTATAGTAAAATTTTATTTAAAAATGATACTACGTCACTTAAATTATCAGGTCGTTAATACTTACTCTTAATTTATAAATATTTGTTGATCGATATGGATTTATTTTTGTTAGTATAGAACTTTGAACATCTATTATAGATATGGATGAAATTACAAAATATAACTGCATTTTTAGCAATACATTTTGATATAGACAAAGATATTTCATAGTTTTTATTTTTGATAAGTTTCCTACTTAACTATCTTATAAACTCTTGTATACTAAGTATTTTTATTATATGTATTAATGTACCCTCGTTTCCTTAACAGGATTTAACTCCTTATTATAGTAACATGGCGTGTGGAATGGAAGCCGACCCAACAACTTTGATTGTAATTGTTTTCGTACGAAATATGAGGGTCATGTGCAGTTTCTAAACTTTAATATTATAGTTTACTATTCCTCTATTTAGGACAATTCGCTAAATAAAACGCCATTTGATTCAGAATTTATTTTAAAAAGTATATAAAACTCATCTTTTAATTTCGTTACATAATCGATATAAGTGCTGCCATCAATAATAATATATAGTTAGATGCTTTTTTATTAAAACTAAGGTTTCTTTTATTTTAAAATGGATATTAACAATAAGCACTCTTTTGTTTTTTTAAAACAATGATATGTAAACTTCAAGCCAGTCTAAAATTATGAGATACATGTATATTATATATTATAGGAAATGAATCAAGAAAGACCTCTATTTACAAGAACCCCATCATAAAAGAGAGGCTATTTTACAATATTCGTAATCTTCGTTAAAAAATAGTGAAATTTTCAATGAAATGTATAATGATATCTGCACGATTTTAATACGATTTATGAAAAAATTCAATAAAACAGTTTTCATATTATTTTACTGCAATTAAAACTTATATGATTGTCATTGTTTAATATCAATTCATAACATCAGGATCATAATTTAATTAATATAATTCCCAAATATATCGTTAATTTCATAGTAAATTAATTATTACAAATGTTATGTACAATAAACGTGGGACCTATTCAAAAGTCAGTGAACAAATACAATGAATATTGAATACGTAATATCAAAGCTTTTTAAGCTTTTCAAATAAATTTAAAAGCAATAAGTCCTGGAGGTTTCTTCGCCTCCACATTGCCGTCACCCATAAAAGTATTGGTTGTTAGCATAACCTAAACTCTTTGGACTCATAACCAGTTCTTGTTTTGGATTTTTATTGAAACTTGTGTCACTAGATTGTGGGGGCACATAGTCAACATTCCCGTACATGCTCGTGCCTACACAAGGATACACGGTGGACAATGGCTTCATGGCTCTAAGTGTCGCTTTATTCGGTCCGTCCTTGTATAAAATCATATCCGGATGCGCTGGATCGTAGAAAGTTCCAGAAAATTGACTAACATCAACGTCGACGTCCAAATCTGATACGTTATCGCTAAATATGTTCGGTGTTTCTGTTGTGAACATGTCTCCGTTTTTTGATCTGTTCGTCCGATCTCGTTTTTTATAATATCGTGTTAATATGATAACAATTATCAATATAATGACTATTATTATACCAATACTAACGTAGATCAAGAATTTCGTGTTCGGTGTGTAAAATGAGTCTGGAAAAAAAAAATTAAACAAATTATACCATATGGGAATTTTGCAATTAGATATGTATAAAAATTGTTACAGTATAATAATTCGTATTTCGTGTAATAGTTGAATTGAGTTTGAATAATTTAATTTATGAATTAAGTCTGGCTTACCGCAAAACTGTGTGGTTAATGTAGGTAACATTTAACAAAATAGTAGCTAGTTAGTGCTATTTTAGCCTCAATGAAACCTAAGTTTTTAAATAATTATGAAATATGAAATCATACCTTTGTCACTGTTTCTATGAGAATTGAAGGTAATTTGGGTGTCGTCAACTTTATTTCGGATCGGGTTAATCATATCTACTTCCCCTGGAAAAACTGGATTTATGATTGGAATACCTCCATTCGGTTCTTTCCATTTCTCACCAGTATCTAAAAAATATGTACAGAGTAGATAATATTCATTGTAAAATAAATATCTTTTTAAGAAATAAAATGAATGAAGTAAATGTGTCATGAAAAAGTCAGTATTAACACAACAGCCTTGGATAAATGAACACTTGTTATATGAACTTCAATTATATGTGAAGTTAAATGATGTGGATTATTATTGTTAATTGAAAATTACCTGATTCATCGAAGTAGCCTTCCTCGTTATTTGTATGTGTATTCATGACTCTATCGTTCTCCGCAGCACTTTCGTAGCGCTCTGTTAGAACTCCCAATGGAACTGCACGAAACGTTTATGTTTCATAATGAATTGAAAAAATTCTACAGTTAAATGAAAAGTACAACTTTTGAAACAAAATGCAACTAACTCTAAACTATTGTTGTTCACTAGTTACTAAAAAGAATTTATATTTTTTTTATTGGAAGCATTAAATAAATTATTATGAAAGTAAACATTTCATATTTATCTGTAATCAAAGCAATGATATAAATTTATGTTTAACCCAAAAAAATAGTCTAATGTTCTATTACTAATTTTCAAGTATTTACCTATTTTCAGGTATTTCATATTTAATTATTAATTACATACGGGAGCAGCTGTCAACTCATTTGATTTTTTTATAATAATTTTTATACAAATTAGTTGTTATTCATTATGCAAACATTTAATTTATTTTGCAAATGACGAAAAGTATTTGTGAAAACATCGAATGTAGTAACATTGTACCAACAGATATGGTTTTGAAAAAGAGTGAGTGGTTTAGCGGGAGATGCAATCTTGAGTATAATAGATAAAAAAGGAGATTTTGAAAGTTAAAAATAAAATTTTTAAATGACCAAACACTCATTCATTCGGTCAATACCTGTGAGACTCGGTATAAAGAGTTGTTTCAGTTTCAGAGTTTTCAATCCCACTAGTACGGCTTACAAAAAACCAACTGAAAGCCTCAAACTTGAAATATCAAAAATTGTTTCCAGAATTTCAAAGCGGTGTAGGTAATAAATACTGAAGCCGAAAATATTTTTCAAGTAGAATTTCTAGGAGATATATATCTCATAGAATTATGTTGTCTAAAAGTAATTAGTCGATTCTTCTTCACAATGACTACATTTATTTGAATAAAGATTTCTTTAACCCTAAATAAAGAAGTACCTATGCGATGATACGTAATTACCATCAGATGTACATATTTAATTTTATTTATTCCCTGTGCAGTTTTAGAATCTCATTTTGCGTAGGAACAGAACTGCTGGTACTGTTGTTGAGTTTTTTAACTTACCACATGCGTAAACGACTTTGAAATAGCTCTTAAAATCTGGGCTGCAGTTCGATCCGAATGTCTTGTTATTTGCTACCACCTGGCAATACCTCTTTCCATGACATATCTGCATAACAGTTTCAACAGCATGCGGAGCTGAGCAAACAGCGTGAGCTATAAAACATAAAATCTCTTAATATTCAAGAAAAACAATATTAAAGAATCCCTTATCTGATTGGAAAATTTAAAAATAATAATAATAACGACGGTTTTGAACTTTAAAGATAATAAAACGACAATTTTCGTTTGTGGAAGAACCAAAAACATTGAAGAAAGAAAGGAAATGTGTTATATATTTTTATTTTAAATTAAAAGTTTGTATAAGATTTATAAAGTTAATATGTATCTTTTATTTACAAAGTAAATATACATGAGCAGCTCATGTTAATTTATATAATCTCGTGTAAAAGCAAATAAATTTCACTAAATATGTGATTTATCTCAATTAAGTTAAGCCTTTGGGAAAGTTCCCAAATGTGTAATAAACGTAAAATTTTACTTTATATAATAAAAACTCAAAGAGATCGGGACATTGAAACAAGTGAAAGGACCCTTAAGTCTAGTAGCTTGCCGGTATATGCTAAAGTAAGTGTTTATTTAATACAAAAACCGATCAATCGGTATGACAGTCTACTAGCGAACTCTTTAATTCCAGAGATTTATTCTGTGTACATATTTGTACATAATACTATACAGTTATCATTCGCATTTAACAGACGCGGAATGAATAGAATAGATGACAAAATTATAATTTTAGTTTGAAATTCGTAAAGTCAAGAAGCGAATTTACTGAGTTAAAAAGCAGACCTCAGGGATGTGAACAATGAAACAAAAGGCCTTTATTACGGTCACACGGACCAACTTGTCTAGAATATAATTAACATGTTAGTTCTTAGTACCTCGTATTTGACCTGTTTTTACTTTATTTAGCATTCTCTTTACAAACGGTTTGAAAAGCTAGTTAAATGTTTGCAGTAAAAAGTGTTGACTGCAGCATAGGTGCTCCGCTGATAGTTAATGAGATTAAGAAAACATATGAAAACATGCTATATTACTCAAAGTAGTTTTATGCATTTAAATATTTCAAATGCAAAGTATGTATAAAACATATGTTTTTATTATAATACCACAAAAAAAACCTATTTAGCCGAATGGAGGAAATTTGTAAGTGATAAACTCGATCAAAATCAAAAAAATACATTGCTTATCACTCCAAATGTATAAATACATATGAGGTAAAATTCAAAGATAATATTGATGGCTCAAAATATGGTTTACATCAAAAGCAACAATCTAATTGTGAACTGTGTAAGAAAATTCGTTTATAATTGTATCAAGTTTCATATAAATGTTGTGAGAAAAGCTATTTGGTGCATAATATAAATAACGAATTTGTTACACGGTCTTTCATGACACAGTTTGTTAATGTCTTGAAATCACGTGAAATTGATTTAAATTTTGGATTCCATTATTTTTGATCCTCAAAGGGATGTTTCGTTACTTAATGTAACATAAACAAAAGGAAGGTTTTGTATAAAGTGGTTTTCTTAATTATCTTACATTCATCTGAAACACCCTGCGGCTTCGGGCAAGTAACGGTTTCATACGCCAAACGACCGTATTGGGCGTCGTATATCGCTACCCTTGATTGCTGGTTACAGCTCAGCTTGATCACATCATCCTCACAGCCAGTTCGACTTCGAAATTCATCTAAAAATAAGAAACTATTAAAAACACTTATATAACATTTGATACGAGTTATTAACTTAAAGCGTCTTCTGAGTATTAATTACGTATCACTAACATTAAGTCCTCATAATTAAACACAATTACAATGTGATACTACAATAAATAAATCACTCTGGTTTGTGAAAGTAAACATTAAATGTATTAATTCCCAAATCATCCCCTAAAAGCCTTTCTAACGATAACGTTATAAATGTATGATTAAATATGCGAAGACATCAAAGAACCGTTTCAAGAGTTCATTTACTTGACATTATCATTCAAATTGATGTAAACAGCGAAAGAATATAGGAGTGTTCGTTTCTTATTACAAAAGATTTTTTTTTTTTCATTACACCTGACATATGTACTGAAGTATATTGAAAATTTAATATTTATTGTTAAAAGACGATAACCGAATAAATAAACGGAATGATAAATAACTGATTCCTTATGTGAACACAGAAAGTTTTTTAATGATTAGATTTTTAAAGGTTAAAGGAATATACAAAAAAATATGATATTAAACAACAAGTAAAAGCTTAAGACTTCTGAAACTCTCAGAAATCAAATAAAATTCAAATCAACACCAAAACAAGCTTCAATTCCATGATTTCCGCTAGATTCTAGCACTAGTTAAAAATATTTGTGGGCTAACTTTAATCATTACAAGTATATAAATCAAAGTTTATGTTATTTATGATTTTGGAAAATAATAGGATCCTTTAAAAAAACAGACTGAGTATCACAAAATAGCCTGTTTATTAAAAATTATATTTCAAGTTGCTCTTATTTCTCTTAATGGTTTAAAAACTTATCTTTCTAGTGCTAAGCGTCATAATATGAAAATTTCATTACTATTTGTTTCTTGACCAAAACACTAAGACTTTCATACTATATTACATTTACTATATTTCATATTACATTATAGGTAGATGAATAGTTCATAAGTGTTTAAAGTGTTTTCAGTTATAAAACAGACCTCTTAAAACGTTACTTATTAGATATTAAATAAAGCATGATAAATATTATATCTAATTTCTATTATAACAATGACGTGTTAATGGAGTGTCAATAAGACAACAAAATAAACAATTTAATAAAGAGACCATCAAGCATATTAACTGTATTATTTGACCGGTAATGGCCTCAACCCTTTCCATTAGAAATCCAACACTAGCAATATGATAAAAGCCTGGAGTGTTTTAACAATTAAATGGCCCAACTGATTTATACACAGCTTTATTACTTATGTTACTTACGACGGCGCATACTTGCGATTTGGTAGCCACATTCTCAGGAAAATATATCTCATTATCTTATATATTTCATAAAATTCTCAAATATTAGCCTAATCATGATTATCTATCAAATAAAATCAAGTCTAAACAAAGAATTTCTATATCATTACGGCAGCAAACCATCTCGGTAATAACAAATGAAACCAGCCAATGTATTATGAAATAAAAAAAACTATTCCTGGGGTAAAAACTGCAACTCCACAAACATATGTATGCATTTCTACGTCGGTGTGTTGGTAATGAGGGCCGCACCTCGCCACACCTAGGCGCGCCCGGAGCGACGACCGGAATTTAATAACCCGCCATAAATCACATCAATTCACTGTAGCCCTAAACCACTGTACACCGATTAGGAATATCTCCCCTATTGTTAAACAATTTTGTTATATTTCTATTAAAATTCAATAAGGTTATATTGTTCTGTCTACTGATACTTTAATAAAAATGATACGTTAACCAAATTGAAGAAATAAATATTGATTTTAGTGGGTGTGTCATATTAAAAAAGTAGGTAAGCGTGACTTCATTTGAAGTTATTAATCTTCATACTTACGCACATGTAACGTTTTTCAAACGTAAAATACTAAAAATATTGGAAATATTTTAAAACGTTACGCCAGACTCCAAATGTATTGAAATTGATATACAATAATAATGCATGATTTTTATTATGGAAATTTATTTTCTGAAATAAAAGTTTTCTTATACTGTACAAATCAAGACGACAATTGTTTTCAATGGAATAAATTATTTTAATATTAAAGTGTTTCGCAATGAAATTGAGATTTTGTTATTAGAATCCACCGAAAAGTGATAACTGCATAAAGAAAAAAACTATCATTATACTTGAACTTTTTTTGTTAAAATACTTTTTGTAAATAAAAGTTATTAATAGAGCTAAAAAATACTTGTAGATTTTTAGTGAAAAGTTTTAGTATATTTTAGTTAAAACTAATGTATAAAGATAAAATATATTTTTGTCCAACAAGAGGAGGATTTGGTAAATAAACAGACTAGCACTGAGTAATGCTATGACAGCGTCAGGTTTGTATATCTGACGTTTTTGCTCGCATCTGCAGCATTGAAAACAGCTGCCTCTGTCATTGTTGACAAATTTGGCGTGAAATTGTAATCACATTTTGTGAAAAGGATGTTACATGCACATAACTTTCATATTTATAATGTATTTAATATTTGACATTATCACATCTATACTGTAACTATTGTTAAGAGAATCTACATAAGATATTCAAGTGCAAATTTTCATAGTTTATTTACTATACTTTTATGGAAAGTAAAAAGAATATTACATTACTGAAATTTTTAAGATTAATTGAAATATAATTCTTATAATATCAATAATTTATATTTCAAATATATATCAAGCTGTAATTTTTCTCTATGTTCTCTCTTTTCAGTACAATTTATGTGACTTCTTGTTTAGAATTATAACAAAATCGATGTTATAATCTTATTATTTTCAGTAACTATTTGTTTACAGAAAAAAAATGTAATGAGGTTAATATTCATACTTTATACTCGTATATTTTTTGTTATTTTCATGTTATATTAGAGTAAATATCATTATTATTTTATAAAATCAGTTCACCTCATTAGTAGAGATTTTCTTTTTATAATACAAAAAATAATAACTAGTAGTTCGCCAGTCAGAAGAACGGTATATATATCCTACCTGTTTTAGAACAGAAGTGTAATAACAATAGGTCTTACAAATAATCACATCACACACAATAATAAACCAAGTAGACTAGTCTGGCTAAAACTAAATCATTGGCAGCGCATACTAAACTAAATGTTTGTATTCATTATCAAGACATAGTTTTAATGAATCAAGTTTAATCAACTTAAGTACTTACGGGGACGACATTTGTAAGCCACTTCGACGAACTTGCGAGCTAAGGGGCAGGGATCGACCTTCTCTGGCTTTAACTTTGTACTGAACTTACATTGAGGTTTCTTCTGACAGGCCTCAACAACCCTTCGTAGAAGTGAATACTACGAAAAATTCTTTAATATAGATAATATACAATCTAAATAATCATATAAGGTACAAGAACTAGATTTGTTAAGCAAAAAATGTAGAATATATCTCTTTTGAAGATAATTAAGATTACACATAACTCATAACAGATTTTACAATATAATTAATTATATTCAGATACCTGCATTTCATTTGGCCACAGACATATTTCTTCTGCGTCATCCATTTGTTGATTTGCATCTGCTATGCAGGCATGGCTTCCAGGCACAACTTTTCCGTATTGAGCAATTTGAATGCTTATTAAAGTCCCTGAAGGACAGGATAACGATACCATCTCATCGTCACAAGCCGCTCGTTGCATAGTTTTCAGAGTTCCCGATAATAAAGCTACAACAAACATTTTAATATGAAATACCTCTATTTGGGTAAAATTATATTTAATACATATACTTTTAAACAAAAAAAAAAACTTTTAAAAATTATTTATAATAAGAGAACAGATTTTAACAATGATTAAGAGCAAGTAATAAATTTCTCATATAAGATATGTACATATATTATAAGAACAATTCATTACCTCATTACATATATACTCGTAAATACATGTAGACATTACAATTATTTTTAAATATAATTATGCCTTTGTTCTTCATATTTGGAAAAATATTTACCAACAAACCATTTATATATGATTTATTTTCTATTTTCAACAAATATAATCGAACTAAAACACAAATACGTTAATGTGAACAAATGCAGCGCGTCATAGTTGCCTTGACAACGTTTTTCTCTTTAATGTATCACGTAGCTAACAAGTACACTCACAGTGTAAATAATATCTGTTATCACGGATTGCAACAAAGCAACTTACTGCTACTAAAGCAAATTGATGTCTCAGTCGGATAGATAAACAAAATGTATGGCTCGTAAAATGAGCACCGACTTTATATCTAACAGGGTCCATCGCTGCCGGCTACTCCGAAACATTACCCACATAAAACGACTCATATTTTAAAAGCTTGTTATCACACTTCCCATCGCACTTCCAATTTCTATTCAAAATGTATTCAGAGTTATCATTTAACATCACTTACGCAAATTATACTCTTAAATAGTAGCCATTCAACATAAATTTATTTAAAGAAATTAAGTAATTATGTTTCTCAAACAAGCAGCACTTCAAATTATAATGGCACATCTTTATTTACCGAGAGAGAAAACGGAATTCTTTCTCGCACCTTTACGTTATTCGTTCTATATAAATTGAAAGTTTCACTAGAAACAAGCAATTTTTGTAGTCATTACGATACACAAAGCAAAAGAAACACTTCAATCTTAATGCAAAAGGCCATTAACGGTTTTTCGTGTAATTAGAAATCATGTTTGAAGTCAGTGTTACCTCGCCTACTTTATTTTCACGCCAGTAAGGGGTGTGTTTATAAAATAGGTCACCTACGCTAAGTTTAGTAATTACTGCTCGGTTGTTTATTAATCGATAACCCAGTCTAGTGTATTTCATATTTCGTGCATCTTAACATATGATAAATTGCTTTATAATTTCACATTAAAAAAGCTGTTACTTTAAAACCCATCTCCTTACTAAATAAACAACTTAAAATAGAAATAAAAACAAAAAAATATGTAGGAATCTTAATAATATGTACAAAAAATGTTTTTATTTTCCAATGAAATAAAATGTTAAATAAAGTAGCCCGGTGAAAATTTCTGGTACAATATTAAATAATATCTGAAATGCCTACTACATGTATTTGACGCTTGCGGTTTGAAAAGGGCATTTTTTTGAATTTCCGGCTCTTATGTCTTTCACAGAAACGTATGTATATTTTAAAAGTCATACTGGGTCCAAACAAAAAATGACACAATTTGCATGAACTGTTTTAAGTGAATTACGTTTTTATTTAGTCAAAAACGCTAATACTCCTTTTTAACTTTGGCGGTACTTTTTAAAATATTTATGTTACATATTAGAACCTTTTTACCTATCACTAGGGTAATCATTATTAATAATGCGACGAATTCATTCCCAGAAAATATTGGTCTAAGTTACGTATATACTTAGGTACATATGAAATTATTTGAATAGATAACAAATAATAAGCTGAAAACAACAAAATTATTTTAAGCACTAACGCATCATTTTATGTAGATAACATAAGGTGAACTCTCTGCCAGTGGTTTTGTGTTATATGACACTGAAGAACTTAAAAGTAACTAGGTATAGGCGATACAGAAAAACAAAGCCTAATTTATCTTTGGTCACCTCTCTTACTTTCTATTCTATCAACGAATAGTGATGAAACCAGTTACAGAACGATGAGTCTTTGCATACATGCAGACACCTACCTCTTCATATTCAAACTCACAAAACAACGACAGAGTACCCGGTAAGCCCTCCCTACACAAAGGGCTCTGTTTTGTTATGATCCGGTTTACTAAGACGTGGACAGATTCGTCATACTCCCCATGACATTATCGCTATGAAAAGAAATATGTGTAACTTATTTAATTTATTAAGAAACCAAATAATTCCATGAAGAATATTACTCTTAATTTAATTGGCACATCGCAAATAAATAAATCCTAAGAAGTTCAAAGTTTTTAGAACTAGAAGAAAATCCAAAGTTTTCTAAATTTATTCAGTCCAGTTTATTCTGGATACGATTACGAAACAGTAGGAGGAAAAGTATCTGAGATGGTGTAAGTAGTTTTCCAAGTTCGGTTAATGGAAATAGATCCTGATTAAAACTTCAGTAGTTCGCCACATCACGTATAACACCATCAAGTTTCGAAGGCACTCTATTTTGCTTTTAGGACACAAAAAAGACCCAGTCTTTAAAGTTAATATCAGAAGATATAGATGCAGATATATTCCAAATAATATATAATCCAACAATTTTATTTACACTATTGCTTATTTTTTTTTCATAAGTATGACATTAAAACCTGCTTAATTTTTGGACTTATATTGAATACATTATTATGCAAAGGCTTTTCATTAAATTTACGTAAAAGCCACTTGTATGCAGTAAAGGAAAGCATATCAAAAGATTATTACTTTGAAGCAACGAAGCATGGAGTTGTAAGCACTGGCTAAAAACAAAGTAGTTCATGAAAATGTTATTTTGATTTTATACTAAACAAAATTTATTTGCTAATTTCAGGTACCTCTATGTTGTGCTCTTGAGACTTCGCGGATAATTATGGAAAAATACTCTCATACTATTAATTGAGCTATAAGCATCAAACTCGACTAAAACCTATGCCATCCATAATGCATTTTGGTCTTTACCTCCAATACAATACGATATACACTGCGATGTCGAGTTTTTTGTCATTGGGATTAATTAATTTCCCTCTCGTATTCCCTCTCACTAGGATTTATTGAAATAGTCATACAACATGTTCGTCAAGTGACATGCTTTAAGCATGGGCTATTAATTTACACGTATATCATATATTTGCCCATAATTAACTCCCCGTACTAAAGCATGACCTCTTCAAACTAAATATTATGATGGTAATTAAAAATTTTACAAATACTTTTGTTCGTGTTTTTCAGTTATAAGCTACTAGTAGAACATAATTGATGAATATGATATATGTACTTAATGAAGGCGTGTAAGCCTCGCCCAAACTCGTACACTAATTAAAAATATGACAACCACAAATATAACCCTAAATCTTGGATCAGTAAACAACTTTTTTTAGATAACTGTCGAAGTTTAACAAAAGTAAAATTTTATACTAGATAAATATATTTACCAACAATCTTTTATTTTCACATAATACAAAAAAATTATAAGTATTACCCGATTTTAACGCTAGAAATAAATATCACTAAAAACTGAAAATCATACTATGAAATGAATGATACTATTTTCAAACAAAAAGAGCTCCTTTGTTATTTGTAACAAGGTTCTATCCTCATCTCCTTATCATTGTGGCTCAAGAAAGTGTAATTTAGAAGAAAATAATGGAACTTAAATTTTAATGTTTGAAAAATTGGTTGGAAAACTTTTCTTATTAAAAAAACTATGATATTTTTTGCGATGATTAAGAAAATTATGCTTAAACAGAATTATGTCACATGCATGATTCTACATACTGGTGGTGTGTTGAAATCTAACGCGAGACCACAGTTTTGTAGCGGCAAGCTAATATCAACCTGGCAATTCCTACGCCTCCAATAGCACCCCTGTGTTCCGGGCTGGGGTCGGCGTGGTAACCCGGCCCTTTTGAAAGCCCGGCGTCGTCGGGGTGGTCCTAATTGCCGGGATCGCCCCCATTCTCCGAGGGAGTAAGTCCGGTCTTTGCCAGGACCGGCCAGTCGCTGGTGTGCCCTGTCGCTGACAGATCCGGGGTACACCGACATAGCGGCCGATGGCTTTCGCAGTGGTTTTAGTGAGTAGGGGCCTGCCCAGGCCGAGCCTCACACATCCCTTCCGGCCCCACCAAGGCCGGTTGGACGGCTCGTAAAAAGAGTTTCCACTACGTCATCAAAAAAAAAAAAAAAAAAGCTAATATCAACCTTATAAACGAATGAGTGCAATACTAAAAATACTGCCCCTTACCTTTAAACAGTTCATATTGGATCACAAATAAAATTATTATATCCCCGTTGAATTAAAACGACTCGTATATTTTAGTTAAGACTTCGTTCCCGAAAAAAGCAACTATGTTTATAAGTCAGGAAATAATCTCTCTCGATTAAAAAAGGTTTGTTTCCTTATTTAAACTTAAAATTCCTTAATGCGCAAAACCAACAAAACTCACTGCAGCATTAATAATATTTGTTTACCAAACACAATTTTTTTTTATTTATTTGAATTCTATTCATTCTAAAATACCTTTAATAAGACTTAAAAAAAACAGCTAAATTAAATGAGTAACGATTAACCGCAGCTCTCTTATGTAATTTGTATTTTTTCATATTTTTTACATATAAATAAAATATATATGTATATTAAATCTACCAGGAAAAGATTTTCTCATATACTTCCGTGAGTAGAATACGGTATATGCTTTCAGATTCTTAGTTCTCTACTCACGTGGCAAACATACCTATCTTTATGTTTTGACCATAATTTTTAATATTATTCTAGACTCAGTTTTATCCGTAGCTTTGGTCATGATAAAGTCATTTGTATATTTTAAGATAAAAGTACCCTACGTTTTCCTAAATAACTTTGAACTTTTTATACAAAATGTTATATAATATTTAATGTCTAATAATAGAAACTAAGTGCCTAAACAAAAGCATCCAAAATATTAGATTATTAATTATATGGATTAAATGATAAGTACTTAGTATAAGTATCATTTTATTATAATAAAAAAATTGTTTATCTTAGGAATCTTAATTTTTGTTGCGTCATTCTT